CCACATGGGGTGCTAGCGGGAAAATACTTAGGAAAGTTTACCAACAAAGTGTTCGGCCACATCTTGAATACAGATCAACAGCATGGAGTTCGGCATCAAAAACCACATTGCAAGAATTAGACAAAGTGCAAAATCAAGCACTCAGAGTTACCGCAGGCAGTATGAAATCAACACCTATAGCTGTGATGGAGAAAATGACGATGGCCCAAGCACTGAGTGAACGCAGAGACACCAAGATGCTTTTACAAGCAGAAAAGTTTCTTAGTATGCCCAGTCACCCTATGAATGAAAGATTCACAAATTTTGCTTTGGGACGACTAAAGAGAAGTAGTTTCATCCACCAGGCCAAACGGCTCGGCAGACAAACCACTGATTTACCTGCAACTGATAGATCCTTAAATGCTGTTCCAGAACGGACCCCCTGGAGAGATGAGTATAAGTTTCCAATACACATCAAGACTGAAGTGAAAGGGGTATTTGACAAGGAAGAACAAAATAGTGTGCAGCGCAAAACAGCCACCCTCAGTCTACTTGATGATGAATACCCACAGAACTTTTGGGTCCGTGTTTACACAGATGGGTCAGCAGAAAACACAGTCAGAAACGGAGGTGCAGGAGTGTACATTGAGTATCCTAATAATACCAGGGATACAGCCAAAATACCAACAGGAAAGCACTGTCACAACTATGATGCAGAAGTTCAAGCCATCAAGATAGCAGTAGAGAAACTACTAAACACAGGGTATTTTTCACAACCAGTAGTATTCCTGACAGATGCAAAAGCGGTACTTCAGTAACTCCAGTCTGGAAAATTACCAAGCATACAGACACTATTATCCGAAGGCAACCGTTGTAATTTAGTTATGCAGTGGATACCTTCCCACTGTGGAGTTACCGGAAACGAAAGAGCTGATAAACTAGCTAAGAAAGGTGCAACTGAAGAACAACCTGACATACCAGTCTCTTATCAACAGAAGAAGAGAATGATCAAATCAATCAGAATGCCACCGAAACTGGCACAAGATGATTACCATATTATGGACAGACCAGAGCAAGTCATTATCCTTCGCCTTAGAACAGGGCACAATCGACTTTGCTGCCACATGTACAACAAATTTAAGATTGGCCAATCAGCCATGTGTACTTGTGGACTGGCACCTGAAACAACAGATCCCATCCTTCAAGACTGTCCCAGATTCAACGCTTTCAGGCAAAACCTTTGGTCGAAAGAGACACTTGTGGAAGTCAAACTTTACGGGCCGCTTAGTGAATTACAAAAGACAGTGAAATTCATACTAGAGACAGCTTTGCAGATATAGATAATTTATTTCATGCGAACGAAAGAAGAAGAAGAAGAATTCTAGTGTCCAGAGAGTATCACAAATTAACCGCCTTTTCTGAATTGATGGCATCACCCATTTCTGCACACCAGTCAGTCACTCTGTCTACAGTTGCCTGCAGCTTCTGGGCTATCCATCGCCTATCACTCCCTTGCCTACATGCAAGCACATGTCGGCAAATGTCAATATCCATCCAACACCTGGTGCTTCAAGTTCTGCAATCTTGCTTGTGTACACACTGAAGAGCACTGGTGAAATTGCAAAACCCTGGGATAGTCCCGTGGCATTATTACATGATTTTTATAAAACTGACTAAGACTGAAAATTTATTCGGCTTCTTCTCTTCCCAAATTTCTTAGATGAGAGTTTCAGAAAATTGTAACAATGTGTTTCTTTTTGACAACATATTGAAAAAAAATTTTTTTTTTTTTTTTTTTTAAAGATCAATCTACTCATTTAAAAGGCACACCAAAATGAGATGGTATATCGTGTTGTTGTACAAATTGTTCAAAATCCAACCGTGACTTCTCTGTTATACAAAACATTCCAAATCCAACTGCATTTGCTATATACTAACAATTCTAAATCTAACGTGACTCCTACACTTGATATATATAATATCCCAAATCCAACAGTGACTTTTACATTTGTTATATAAAATATGCCCAAGTCCAACCATAACTCCTACACTCACTATACAAAATATTCAAAATCCAACTGCAACTTCTATATTTGTTATACAGAATATCCCAAATCTAACTGTGACTCTTACTTCTGCTAACATATAAATATCCCAAATCCAACAGGTGAATCCTACTTCTCCTAACATAAAATATCCCAAATCCAACAGTGAATCCTACTTCTTCAAACATAAAATATCCCAAATCCAACAGTGAATCTTACTTCTTCAAACATAAAATATCCCAAATCCAACAGTGAATCTTACTTCTTCAAACATAAAATATCCCAAATCCAACAGTGAATCTTACTTCTTCAAACATAAAATATCCCAAATCCAACAGTGAATCTTACTTCTTCAAACATAAAATATCCCAAATCCAACAGTGAATCCTACTTCTTCAAACATAAAATTTCCCAAATCCAACAGTGAATCCTACTTCTTCAAACATAAAATATCCCAAATCCAACTGTGACTCCTACTTCTTCAAACATAAAATATCCCAAATCCAACTGTGACTCCTACTTCTTCAAACATAAAATATCCCAAATCCAACAGTGAATCCTACTTCTTCAAACATAAAATATCCCAAATCCAACAGTGAATCTTACTTCTTCAAACATAAAATTTCCCAAATCCAACAGTGAATCTTACTTCTTCAAACATAAAATATCCCAAATCCAACAGTGAATCTTACTTCTTCAAACATAAAATTTCCCAAACCCAACAGTGAATCCTACTTCTTCAAACATAAAATATCCCAAACCCAACAGTGAATCCTACTTCTTCAAACATAAAATTTCCCAAACCCAACAGTGAATCTTACTTCTTCAAACATAAAATATCCCAAATCCAACAGTGAATCCTACTTCTTCAAACATAAAATATCCCAAATCCAACTGTGACTCCTACTTCTTCAAACATAAAATATCCCAAATCCAACAGTGAATCCTACTTCTTCAAACATAAAATTTCCCAAATCCAACAGTGAATCCTACTTCTTCAAACATAAAATATCCCAAATCCAACAGTGAATCCTACTTCTTCAAACATAAAATATCCCAAACCCAACAGTGAATCCTACTTCTTCAAACATAAAATATCCCAAACCCAACAGTGAATCCTACTTCTTCAAACATAAAATTTCCCAAACCCAACAGTGAATCTTACTTCTTCAAACATAAAATATCCCAAATCCAACAGTGAATCCTACTTCTTCAAACATAAAATATCCCAAATCCAACTGTGACTCCTACTTCTTCAAACATAAAATATCCCAAATCCAACTGTGACTCCTACTTCTTCAAACATAAAATATCCCAAATCCAACAGTGAATCCTACTTCTTCAAACATAAAATATCCCAAATCCAACAGTGAATCCTACTTCTTCAAACATAAAATATCCCAAATCCAACAGTGAATCTTACTTCTTCAAACATAAAATTTCCCAAACCCAACAGTGAATCTTACTTCTTCAAACATAAAATATCCCAAATCCAACAGTGAATCTTACTTCTTCAAACATAAAATATCCCAAATCCAACAGTGAATCCTACTTCTTCAAACATAAAATATCCCAAATCCAACAGTGAATCCTACTTCTTCAAACATAAAATATCACAAATCCAACTGTGACCCCTATATTTGCTATACAAAATGTTCCAAATCTCATACGTCGTAAAAGGCCAAAAAAACCATAGCACATGAAGTTCTCTTTCAAAGGAGAATGCGGAAGAAAGAAACAAATAACTGAACAATATTAACAATAACAACATAGTAACACAGCATAAACAACAGAAGGAGGAAATGTGTGTGTGTGTGGGTAAGTACTGGAATGTGTGGATCGTGGGTGTGTGGGTAAGTACTGGGATGAGTTGGTGGTGGGTATGGGTGTTTGGGTAAGTACCTGCACGTGTGGGTAAGTAATGGCTTATGTGGGTGGTGGGTGTGTGGGTTTGTACTGGCATGTGTGGGTAGTGGGTAAGTATTGGCATATCTGGGTGGGGGGTGTGTGGGCTAGTACTGGGATGAGTGGGTAAGTACTGACATGTGTGAAATATTCACTGGGATAAGTAATGCCTTAGAATCAACAGGTGCTCGATGTCAGAGTGACATTCATAGGATATCAAACAAAGTATGAGTGACATCCCCAAACATCTGTCATGAGTGACATTCACAAAATATTGTATGAATGTTTTCATTCATGAAACATCAAATCCTTGTATGACTGATTTAATTCATAAAACATTAGTCAGGGTATTAATGATTTCAATCAAAAGATTCCAGTCAGTGTATGAATTATTTCATACATCAAACACCAATTAGTGTATGAATGATTTCATTCAAAAAAAACCAATGTATGAATGATTACATTCACAAAACATTAATTAATTTAAGATAGAAATCATTCAAAAAAAAACAAATCAGTGAGGGAAATCATTCTCTAAACACGAATCAATGTATGAATGAATTAATTCACAAAATTTATGCAGGAATAATCTTACATTTTCACTGTCAATGAATGAATTGTTTCATTCACCACATACACATCCATTAAGTGAATGATTTCATCCATATGTGAATTAATCCTTCCCAGTGATCAGTTTAGCAGGTTTATTTACATAAACAAGGCATAAATTCACTCATTCATAAAGTGTATATCCACAAACATTAGCATGTTATCACTCATCCATGAACGTCCAGGTGAAACACTGCCTATACAACAGCTGCACTGCGATTCTTCTTTCAACATCAATATTATTTCTTGTGAAGGCAAAATCTGCATATGAATTCTTTTGATCCAGCGGCAAGGAGGCACACCCTGAATGTTGAGTGTGCGTGCTTTGTGGTCAATTCAAAAATTTTGCACACACACAAAAAATCCAAGAACAATGGTCACATGGTGACACAGACATCTGCCTGTGTAGCAAAAGTTCTGTTTCTGGCAAATATGTAGAGATCTAACACAGATGCACAGCTGCTATGTTAAGTCCCTAACAAACCGGTGCTCCAAAAGAGCTTCAGCAGAGGGCCGCTCCTGGCCAGTTCGTCTGAATGTATGCAACAGAAAGTCCTTCGCTGCAGGGGAACAGTTTGACGGCAGTTCGTACTTTGGATGTTTGCTGGTGACGATTTGAAACATGGCAGAGAATGGCTCATATTCGTGGAATGGGGGTTTCATAGTAATCATTTCTACGACGGTGCAACCGATGCTCCTGCAGAGAAAAAGACCATTACAAACAGGCATAAGTACATATACAACAAATACTCACAGTTTTCTACCCCACCCATATCATAAAAAATGCCCTTTTACATCAAAAGCTGCTTTTATTCATTTTTTATGAGCTCTCAGTACAGGCCAGTCATCATCATGTAGCAGGTCCTTTGCAGAACGTCGCTCTCATCACAGTCTACCTGAAAGAAACTCGGTCTCTCGCCAGTTCTCACACCTCATGAACTTTCACACTCAAGGAGTCACTTATATCCTGCACCCATCTTCGTGTTGGTCTGCCCCTCCTTCCTGGTACCATGCCTTCTGCTATAATGTTTTCCAATCTGTCATGGCGCTTGATATGACCAAAATATTTAAGCTTTCGAGAAAGAATGCTGTTTATTAGCCAATCTTCCTTGATGTTCAGATCTATTTTTCCTCTTCTTTGTCCAAGATATTTGTACAGGCCAGTACTTTACAAAAATTTCTTATGTATTGTACTGTACCAGTAATAAATGTTTAAAACGTTTGAAACATTTATTATGGAAAATGAAAGTCCAAAAATAAAAATGCTGTTCACATTTTAAGATACAATTTATAATGTTTAACTTAACTCTTGCATTTTGCCCTCTTCCTTGATGCAATCTCTCTCCAATTATAGAAGCAGATTACGTCAGATGGTGTGGTTTCCTCCTGCCCATTAACTCTTTGAGTCCCAAGGAACGCATCATATGTTCATAGGTTCCTACCTAGAAGCCCGAAGAACGCATGATCGCCGATTTTATTACTTTCTTTACTACCCACTGTGATGCTAAACCCCCTGGGACTCAACGAGTTTTTGTATTGTGGTCCTGTCTCGATCAACTGGAACCCTTCCGAATTGGGATGAGATTTGTCCTGCCATCCTCTTCTGTTCACATCACCCTGCGTCACCATTTCCCAACATCACTGTCAGTTACTCCATTAAGTTTGTCATTTGCCAACCATTCTGTAATGTTGTCTTCATTGACACCGTCACAGGCTGGTACATTTTTCCTAATTTCATTACCGAGATTTAAAAAAAAAAAAAAAAACTATTTGTGATATCAAGGCATTACAGAGTTCACTTGGTGAACTGGCATAAACAGTGTGTGTAACGTAATAGTTAAATTATGGAGTTCATTTAGTCAACTTGCATAAACACAATGTAATAACTAAACAGTTTATATATATATATATATTTACCTAATGTAATTGTTAAATTATGGATTTCACTTAGTTAATTTCATTGTGTGGGTTCTGGGGCCCCATTTTAGGGGGAAAAAGAATATACCCTCTGTCCTCCCCCGTCTTCACCCCCCTCCCCCCCCCCTTTTCCCAAAGAAATACATCACAGGATGCGACTATTTTACTGATTAATTTAAGGGTGTTAAATTTGAAGTCATAGTGTATATGCCGGAGAGGCCAGGAACAAACAGTCTGGATACAAATATCTGTTAAATAAATGAACACAAGTTCTGGAAAAAAAACCAAAGTCCAGAAGTAGACAAGCAACCAGAACTTTCCACCAGAGTTTACAGCCACTGAACGCGAAGAAGAACTCAATTAACTTGCATAAACACAGAATAAAATAATAAGTTTCATTATGAAGCTCACTTGGTTAAATGAAAACAGTGAAATAAAATAGTTATATTATAGAGGGCAATACTAACTAAACTTGCAGAAATACATTGTAATATAACATTAATAGTGTAATATAATAGTTAAATTATTCCCTGTGTGGGTTACGGGGTCCCATTGTGGGGAAAACAAGATTAGACCCCCTGCCTCCCCAACAAGCATGTTTAACAGTAGACTAATTGGGAGCTTGCTTCAAAGTCAGAGTACATCTGCCTGAGAGCTAAGGAATAGACAGTCTGCATACAAATGAGGCAGATCTGTAAAACAGATGTGCACCACTCAGATTCTGGAACAAGACTAAAGTCCGGAGGTGGATGAGTACCCAGAACTTTCTGCCAGAGTTTACAGTTGCTGAATGTAAAGAAAAACAAAAATAGTTAAATTACTGAGTTCACTTGGTTAACTTGCATAAATAAGTGTAACAGAATAATAAATAATAGATTTATCACACCCTACATTCTCTTACCAGACATCAGCCTTGCGGCCGTAACCTTCGCCATTGATGACCTCTGGAGCCATCCAATGAGGAGTGCCCACAGCTGTCTTTAGCCCTGTAGCACTAGTGATCGTCTGTAACCTTTTGGAAGCCCCAAAGTCTGCTAGCTTGACGTTACCAACCGTGTCTCTTAAAATATTTGCAGCTGATTGAAGACAAGCATAGAGGCAAGTCAGCACTGAAAAAGGAGCTTTCATGTTTATAAAGGACTCATATGTTGGCATAAAGAACTAAAAGTCTGTATAAAGGGTTCATATGTTTGTTTAAAGGTGTACGTTGCTTAGGCGTTGTGAGTCTGACTCATAATTCCAACGTACTGTGATCGAAACCCACTGCTGGCTACATGGATTTTTATCATGGTTTGGGGCGCCACAGGTCGACCCAGCCTAAAATGGGTACCAGGATGTATGTTCTGGGGAAGTAGAGACGGCCAGCGTAATGCTGACCACATAACCAACCTAGTGCCGATTGGTCTGTTAAAATATGGGTGCTCTTCCCATATTCCCAATGTGCCTTAAAGCGTGAAAAAGGATATTTAATGTTACTTTTATGTTCGTTTAAAATGGGTCATGTGTTTGCATAAAGGACTATATATTTTTACAAAGGGGCTATATGTTTATATAAAGGAATCATGTTTGTAAATGGACCAAATGTTTCAACAGTGTCCACTGTTTGTATAAATGGGTCATATGTTTGGATTGCATTCGTATGTTTGTACAGATAGGACATATGTTTTGATAGTGTCCATATGTTTGTATCAAGTGAAAACATGTTTGGACAGCATCTATGTTTTTATGAGGGAGCCATATGTTTGCAGTTAGGAAGCATATGTCTGCACAAGGGGGCGCTGCGTGGTCTTGAGGCATGGTGTCCGCCTCGAGTGCTAGAGGTTCCGGGGTTCAATTGCCGGTAAGGCTGTGATTTTTTCACGTGGACTTGGACTTCTAGCAATTCCCCTTGGTCTCTGGGTAGTGAGATCAGATGCCCATTGTTAAGCACGGAAATAATCCCTTGGCAGTTGAAATCGAAAAGAGTAGCCTAACAGTGTGCCCAGGCAAAATCTTGACGTTAAAAATCTACCCAAAGTATTTCAGAATCCTCACCGGTGCTACAGAGCCTGTGCACTGTGCTGAGCTTCTTGACTCAGACTTGAGTTAAAAGAAGATGGGAGCACTTATGGGTTACTACCCATGTGCCATGATGTTGATAGGTTGTTCAAACCTCAAACCTCTGCACAAACGGACCACATGTCTATAAAAGAGCCATATGTTTGCTGTAAGGAACTATATGTTTGCATAAAGTTTCCATATATGTGTATTAATGTTTGTTCAAATGAGACATGTCTGTATAAAGAGGCCACATGTCTGTATAAATAGGCCATATGATTGTATAAAGGGGTCATTTTCTCTTAAAATGAGCTACATATTTATATAAAGAGGTTGCATGTCTGTACAAATCGGTGGTCTCTAACTCCCCGTGTGGGTTCCAGGGCACTATTATAGGGAAAACAAGAATAGACCCACTGCCTACCCAAAAGCATGTCGTAAGAGTCTACTAACTGGGAGCTTCCTTCAAAGTCGGAGTGCATCTGCCTGAGAGGCAAGGAACCAACAGTCTGCATACAAATTTGTTGAGTGCATGGCGTGACACTGTGAGCTGCGTTTGTTTTTCGTTGGCACAGGAGCGGAGCAACTGTGGGGTGACCCGTTTGCTATGAAGCTGAAACTAGGATTACCATACAAATTTGTCAGATGTGTCAAACGGATGCACATGCAACATTCAGGTTTTGGAACAGGACTGAAGTCCAGAAGTGGATGAACAACCAGAACTTTCCGCCAAAGAGCTGGTGAACGCAAAGAAGAAGAAGAAGAATATATAAATTACACCACCTTTAATATCCCTGTGAACAATCACACATAAATCACACACTACCTTTAATATCCCTGTAAACAATTACATATAAATGACACACTATCTTTAATATCCCTGTGAACAATCACACATAAATCACACACTAACTTTAATATCCTTGTGAACAATCACATATAAATCACACACTACCTTTAATATCCCTGTAAACGATTAAATATAAATCACACACTAACTTTAATATCCCTGTGAACAATCACACATAAATCACACACTAACTTTAATATCCCAGTGAACAATCACACATAAATCACACACTAACTTTAATATCCCAGTGAACAATCACATATAAATCACACACTACCTTTAATATCCCTGTAAACAATTACATATAAATCACACACTAACTTTAATATCCTTGTGAACAATCACATATAAATCACACACTACCTTTAATATCCCTGTAAACGATTAAATATAAATCACACACTAACTTTAATATCCCTGTGAACAATCACACATAAATCACACACTAACTTTAATATCCCTGTGAACAATCACATATAAATCATACACTACCTTTAATATCAGTGTGAACAATCACATAAAAATCACACACTACCTTTAATATCCCTGTGAACAATCACATATAAATCACACACTAACTTTAATATCCCAGTGAACAATCACACATAAATCACACACTAACTTTAATATCCCAGTGAACAATCACACATAAATCACACACTAACTTTAATATCCCAGTGAACAATCACACATAAATCACACACTACCTTTAATATCCCTGTGAACAATGACATTTTTGTGCAAGAAGGCTAGCCCCTGCAAGATCTGCCTGGTATATCTGCGAGTGACGTTCTCCGTGAGGGGCCCATACTGTTTCATATGGTCTAAGACTGAACCCTGAGGTAGACAAACAAAACATTTGTATTGATATGAATGAAAATAAAGCTGTTAAAATTTACCACCTGGAATGTGACTGTTTTGTTATCAGCCTGTAATTACTTTAACACTTTTTAATCTTGAGAAGTCCTTCTTGAAAGTAGTCAATGTTTGAGTCCAAAAAAGTTAAAATAATAACAGTGAGTTAGTTACAACGAGGGACGCTAACAATTCAAATTAATGAGTTAATATAACAATTGTCTGCGATAAAAGAAGAGTCACAAACGTGAAAGGTCATTGCACTAACTAATTAACAACTAGCAAGTTTCCTGGCACCTTCTTCTTCTACTGCGTTCACTCTTAAACGGGCAGTTGATCTGTTTTGTAGTGGATTATGGGTAAAAAGGTCCCTTTACCACGCCTTAGGCATAGTGGGAATATAGGACTATAGCTATATTTTTTATAGACCAATCGGCACTTGGTGGGTGATGTGGTTAGCATCACGATGACCACCTTTACTTCCCAGGACTGTAACTGTTACATACTCAAGGCTGGGTCGACCTGAGAGTTAAGGTCATTTTTTAAGAAACAAAAAAGTCCGGCTTTGTCAGGACGCGAACCCACGACCTTCTGATGAGCAGACGAATGTGTAGATTATAGGTAATCTGTGATATCTGCACCTTTGGCCTAACACATCTGATTTCAGCAAATGCTGAATCAGTTGCCTTCTAGGACATGTATCGTAAGGTCTTGGCATGACAAATGCATCTGATGAATGCATCTGCCTGAGAGGCAAGGAACCACCAATCTGCATACAAATAAGTCAGATCTGTAAAAAGGATGTAGATGCAAAACTCAAGTTCTGGAACAAGACTAAAATAGAACTAAAGTCATGAAGCAGATGTATAACCAGAGTCTTCTGCCAGAGTTTACAGCCAGTGAATGTGAGGAAGAAAGTTTACAGCCAGTGAATGTGAGGAAGAAAGTTTACAGCCAGTGAACGTGAAGAAGAAAGTTTACAGCCAGTGAACAAGAAGAAAGTTTACAGCCAGTGAACATGAAGAAGAAAGTTTACAGCCAGTGAACGTGAAGAAGAAAGTTTACAGCCAGTGAACGTGAAGAAGAAAGTTTACAGCCAGTGAACGTGAAGAAGAAAGTTTACAGCCAGTGAATGTGAAGAAGAAAGTTTACAGCCAGTGAACGTGAAGAAGAAAGTTTACAGCCAGTGAATGTGAAGAAGAAAGTTTAAAGCCAGTGAACAAGAAGAAAGTTTACAGCCAGTGAACGTGAAGAAGAAAGTTTACAGCCAGTGAACGTGAAGAAGAAAGTTTACAGCTAGTGAACGTGAAAAAGAAAGTTTACAGCCAGTGAACGTGAAGAAGAAAGTTTACAGCCAGTTAACGTGAAGAAGAAAGTTTACAGCCAGTGAACAAGAAGAAAGTTTACAGCCAGTGAACGTGAAGAAGAAAGTTTACAGCCAGTGAACAAGAAGAAAGTTTACAGCCAGTGAACAAGAAGAAAGTTTACAGCCAGTGAACGTGAAGAAGAAAGTTTACAGCCAGTGAACAAGAAGAAAGTTTACAGCCAGTGAACGTGAAGAAGAAAGTTTACAGCCAGTGAACGTGAAGAAGAAAGTTTACAGCTAGTGAACGTGAAAAAGAAAGTTTACAGCCAGTGAACGTGAAGAAGAAAGTTTACAGCTAGTGAACGTGAAAATGAAAGTTTACAGCCAGTGAACGTGAAGAAGAAAGTTTACAGCCACTGAACGTGAAGAAAAAAGTTTACAGCCAGTGAACGTAAAGAAGAAAGTTTACAGCCAGTGAACAAGAAGAAAGTTTACAGCCAGTGAACGTGAAGAAGAAAGTTTACAGCCAGTGAACAAGAAGAAAGTTTACAGCCAGTGAACAAGAAGAAAGTTTCCAGCCAGTGAACGTGAAGAAGAAAGTTTACAGCCAGTGAAGGTGAAGAAGAAAGTTTACAGTCAGTGAATGTGAAGAAGAAAGTTTACAGCCAGTGAACGTGAAGAAGAAAGTTTACAGCTAGTGAACGTGAAAAAGAAAGTTTACAGCCAGTGAACGTGAAGAAGAAAGTTTACAGCCAGTGAACGTGAAGAAGAAAGTTTACAGCTAGTGAACGTGAAGAAGAAAGTTTACAGCCACTGAACGTGAAGAAGAAAGTTTACAGCCAGTGAACGTGAAGAAGAAAGTTTACAGCCAGTGAACGTGAAGAAGAAAGTTTACAGCTAGTGAACGTGAAAAAGAAAGTTTACAGCCAGTGAACGTGAAGAAGAAAGTTTACAGCCACTGAACGTGAAGAAGAAAGTTTACAGCTAGTGAACGTGAAGAAGAAAGTTTACAGCCAGTGAAGGTGAAGAAGAAAGTTTACAGACAGTGAACAAGAAGAAAGTTTACAGACAGTGAACGTGAAGAAGAAAGTTTACAGACAGTGAACGTGAAGAAGAAAGTTTACAGCCAGTGAACGTGAAGAAGAAAGTTTACAGCTAGTGAACGTGAAAAAGAAAGTTTACAGCCAGTGAACGTGAAGAAGAAAGTTTACAGCCAGTGAACGTGAAGAAGAAAGTTTACAGACAGTGAACGTGAAGAAGAAAGTTTACAGACAGTGAACGTGAAAAAGAAAGTATACAGCCAGTGAACGTGAAGAAGAAAGTTTACAGCCAGTGAACGTGAAGAAGAAAGTTTACAGCCACTGAATGTGAAGAAGAAAGTTTACAGCCACTGAACGTGAAGAAGAAAGTTTACAGCCAGTGAGCGTGAAGAAAGTTTACAGCCAGTGAACGTGAAGAAGAAAGTTTACAGACAGTGAACGTGAAGAAGAAAGTTTACAGCCAGTGAACGTGAAGAAGAAAGTTTACAGCTAGTGAACGTGAAAAAGAAAGTATACAGTCAGTGAACGTGAAGAAGAAAGTTTACAGCCAGTGAACAAGAAGAAAGTTTACAGCCACTGAACATGAAGAAGAAAGTTTACAGCCAGTGAACGTGAAGAAGAAAGTTTACAGCCAGTGAACGTGAAGAAGAAAGTTTACAGCCAGTGAACGTGAAGAAGAAAGTTTACAGCCAGTGAATGTGAAGAAGAAAGTTTACAGACAGTGAATGTGAAGAAGAAAGTTTACAGCCAGTGAATGTGAAGAAGAAAGTTTACAGCCAGTGAACGTGAAGAAGAAAGTTTACAGCCAGTGAACATGAAAAAAGTTTACAGCTAGTGAACGTGAAGAAGAAAGTTTACAGCCAGTGAATGTGAAGAAGAAAGTTTACAGCCAGTGAACGTGAAGAAGAAAGTTTACAGCCAGTGAACATGAAGAAAGTTTACAGCCAGTGAACATGAAGAAAGTTTACAGCCAGTGAATGTGAAGAAGAAAGTTTACAGACAGTGAACGTGAAAAAGAAAGTATACAGCCAGTGAACGTGAAGAAGAAAGTTTACAGCCAGTGAACGTGAAGAAAGTTTACAGCCAGTGAATGTGAAGAAGAAAGTTTACAGACAGTGAATGTGAAGAAGAAAGTTTACAGACAGTGAACAAGAAGAAAGTTTACAGACAGTGAACGTGAAGAAGAAAGTTTACAGCCAGTGAATGTGAAGAAGAAAGTTTACAGCCAGTGAATGTGAAGAAGAAAGTTTACAGCCAGTGAACGTGAAGAAGAAAGTTTACAGACAGTGAATGTGAAGAAGAGGGGTTTACAGCCAATGAATGTGAAGAAGAAAGTTTACAGCCAGTGAATGTGAAGAAGAAAGTTTACAGCCAATGAAAGTGAAGAAGAAAGTTTACAGCCAGTGAATGTGAAGAAGAAAGTTTACAGCCAATGAAAGTGAAGAAGAAAGTTTACAGACAGTGAATGTGAAGAAGAAAGTTTACAGCCAGTGAATGTGAAGAAGAAAGTTTACAGCCAGTGAACGTGAAGAAGAAAGTTTACAGCCAGTGAACATGAAGAAGAAAGTTTACAGCCAATGAATGTGAAGAAGAAAGTTTACAGCCAGTGAATGTGAAGAAGAAAGTTTACAGCCAGTGAACGTGAAGAAGAAAGTTTACAGCCAGTGAAGGTGAAGAAGAAAGTTTACAGACAGTGAACGTGAAGAAGAAAGTATACAGACAGTGAACAAGAAGAAAGTTTACAGACAGTGAACGTGAAGAAGAAAGTTTACAGCCAGTGAAGGTGAAGAAGAAAGTTTACAGCCAGTGAATGTGAAGAAGAAGGTATAAGAGTCAACCAGACATCATCTTGTTACTCACAAAAGTTAAGAACCACTGAAACAGCCAATACCCAGTAACAATCTGCCCCACACAACTCACCCCAGGCATGTACTCCATGAAAATGGACAACACTTTACTCTCTTGTTGGCACCCGTAGTACTGGACAATTCTTTCATGTTGGAAGTTGCGTAACAGTTGTAACTCATTTTCTAAAGCCCTGACTTCCTGTATGAAACCAAAACCAAAATTATTTTCAAATAAAACATGAACCTGGATATTATTCAAAGAAGACGCCGTCACAATCATATTCAAGGAATGAGAAAAAATTTTGCTGAAGCAGGATAACAGCAAGAAATGGATGAACAGCAGTGTGAAAGACAGAGGGTTGGCAATCCATCGCAGCCAACGTTCACTGTGTAGATCTCTAACCTTGACTGATTGAGAAATCATCAAATAAGCTGGGCTAATAAGGTGGTTTTCATTACTTGAGAATGCTACTTACATCAGCCTACTAATTCAAGAAAAAAGACAATGGTATGGACCCAAAAAGCAATGAGTAACTTGCAAAAAACATCATCCAGCAAACAGGAGGCTTGCATAAATAAAAAAAAACACAGAAATCATCATGAAACATTTCTAAATCATACAATCAACATGAAACATGCATAAATTAGACATCTTCTTCTTCAGTGACCTCGGGTCATGCACTTAATACACTGTAAGCCATAAACTGGGATGTCAGTAGGACTACCATGCTTCCCCAAAGTTGTTCAGTCTACTGGGTGTGGCCATGTGGTGCTTTGCAGCTCCTCCAGGAAAGGTGTCTTTTAAACATATTCTGGTGACTGTTCAGCATGAAGACACTGTCAGAGAACTGTCTGGCTCATACCTATTTATTTAAATGTTTGCCGAGTCTCCAACGTCTAGTGCACAAGCGACAGATGGTGACCTGGTCTGTTCTATAAAGGTGAATCACACAGGAAATAAGAAAAAGACACAGACAACACCAGACTTGCCTTGGACACTTCAGCATTAAGAGCACCCAGCTGAACCTGCTTGACCGCCAGTTCAATGGATGAATCCGAGTCACAGCAGAGGTAAACTTCCCCAAATGCTCCGGAGCCCAGCAGACGACCTCGTTTCCAGTTGGTTGGGGCACGAGGTGCTGAAGAACAAGAGTGGCAACCATGTTATAAATGAAAACCAGTTGCAAATTGCTGGACATCATAAACCTACATTTGTTTGACGTTTGTGGTTTGACTAGGAATTTTCATAATTTTACATTCTTCTACTTCTTGCTTTTCTTGTTCATCGAATGTAAATTATGGTGGAAAGTTCTGGTTGTTTGTCCACCTCTGGATTTTAGATCTGATCCAGAACCTGAGTCTTGCATGTACATCCATTTGACAGATCTGACTTACCTGTGTGCAGATTGTTGATTCCTTGCCTCTCAGGGAGATTCCCTCTGATGTTGACTCCTTTCCTCTCAGGGAGATTCCCTCTGATGTTGACTCCTTCCCTCTCAGGAAGATTGCCTCTGATGTTGACTCCTTTCCTCTCAGGGAAATTGCCTCTGATGTTGACTCCTTCCCTCTCAGGGAGATTGCCTCTGATGTTGATCCCTTGCCTCTCAGGGAGATTCCCTCTGATGTTGATCCCTTGCCTCTCAGGGAGATTCCCTCTGATGTTGACTCCTTCCCTCTCAGGAAGATTCCCTCTGATGTTGATCCCTTGCCTCTCAGGGAGATTCCCTCTGATGTTGACTCCTTTACTCTCAGGGAGATTGCCTCTGAGATTCAGGGAGATTCCCTCTGATGTTGACTCCTTTCCTCTCAGGGAGATTGCCTCTGATGTTGATCCCTTGCCTCTCAGGGAGATTGCCTCTGATGCTGATTCCTTTCCTCTCAGGGAGATTGCCTCTGATGTTGATCCCTTGCCTCTCAGGGAGATTGCCTCTGATGTTGATTCGTTTCCTCTCAGGGAGATTGCCTCTGATGTTGATCCCTTACCTCTCAGGGAGATTCCCTCTGATGTTGACTCTTTTCCTCTCAGGGAGATTGCCTCTGATGTTGACTCCTTACCTCTCAGGGAGATTGCCTCTGATGTTGATCCCTTGCCTCTCAGGGAGATTCCCTCTGATGTTGACTCCTTCCCTCTCAGGGGGATTGCCTCTGATGTTGATCCCTTGCCTCTAAGGAAGATTGCTTCTGATGTTGACTCTTTCCCTCTGAGGTAGATTCCCTCTGATGTTGATCCCTTGCCTCTCAGGGAGATTCCCTCTGATGTTGACTCCTTCCCTCTCAGGGGGATTGCCTCTGATGTTGATCCCTTGCCTCTAAGGGAGATTGCCTCTGATGTTGATCCCTTGCCTCTCAGGGAGATTGCTTCTGATGTTGACTCCTTCCCTCTGAGGGAGATTCACTCTAACTTCATCATCATTATTATCTTCATCCTTTTGTGCCATTATACATCACACAGGATCTACAGTTTGTCCATTTCATTCAAACCTGTTTCACTGTTTCAATATCATGGATGGAACTCAATCCATCTCATCTGGCTACTCTCCCCAATGTATGGGTAAGCCTATAAGTACTGCCAAAATCTCTCCTAGTCATCATCATCATCATGTACCAGCAACATAACCACAAATACAACATTAAAAAAAACTCTTACATTTCGAGAACAGTGGCCCACTTAACGAATATCGGCCTCCGGGAGAATCAAAATCTGGATCTGTGGGCAATCCACTACTGGATGAGCTCCTGGAATCCAAGCTTCGAGTATCCAATGTTCCCTCGGAACTATGGGACATCAGAGAGTTCACGGACATTTCGTTCTCAAACCGTCGGATGGCTGACCTTGGGAACGTCTGGTGTCCTAAATCAGCAAAGTAAACATTTAGTAAATTAGTATCGTATAAATAACAGCCAGCGAAGGAGACAACTCCATGGACTGAGCCCTATGGGCACATATTTGTTTAGAGACATGGTTGGTAATTTGGCTAGTATCATATTCTTCTTCGTGTCCATCAGCTATATAATCTGGTGGAAAGTTCTGGTATGTCTTCTTCTGGTCTTAAGTTTTTTCCCCAGAACTTATTGTGTGAGCCACATTGGGGGGAGGGGGGAGGGGGGAGGAGAGAAAAAACAGAACAGACCAGCTGTCTTCCTACCAAACATGTTGTAAGAGCCGACTAATTAGTGATTTCCTTCAAAGTTGTAGTACATCTGCCTGAGAGGCAAGGAACCAACAGTCTGCATACAAATAAGCCAGATCTGAAAAATGGACATGCAAGCAAAATTCTAGTTCTGCAACATGACAAAAGTCCAGAAGTGAACGGCCTACCAGAACTGTTCACCGAAGTTTACAGCCAGTGATTGCGAAGAAGAATCAGTTCCATAGCTTCAGTTATCCGTGCTGATCCATTTTACAAATATAGCTTATTTTGTAGGTTTCATGTTGTTTTTGGTATGCCTTTATTTCTGTGCCTCTGTGGGTTCCAATGTTAAGCCCTTTCAGTTAAGTTTGTTTGAGGTTTTCACGTTTCCTGCCACTGCCAGAATCTTTTCTTCACCTCTTGATTCATTGGCATTTGTTTAGTTCTCATCCAAAACTACACATCTGTGATTCTACCATACTTTTTAATTCCCTCTATTTTGCACAGATATCAGTGAGTGAACGTTTGTAGTTTATTAGTTAACTCTTTCAACAGTTAGCTCTCCATGTTTCCGCTTGATACACCAGTACTGATTCAACATTAAATATTTAAGTTTAGTATTAGCTTGTTACATCTTAAAAGATCTGAACATCAAGGAAGATTGGCTAATAAACCGCATCCTTTCTCGGAAGCTGAAAAATGTTGGTTATATCAAGCGCCACAACGGATTGGAAAAAACTATAGCAGAAGGCATGGTACTAGGAAGGAGGGGCAGGGGCCGACCGACACGAAGATGGGCACAGGATATAAGTGACTCCTTGACTATGACAAGTACATGAGGCAGGAGAACTGGCCAGAGACCGAGTTTCTTTCAGGCAGACTGTGATGAGAGCGACATTCTGCAAAGGACCTGCCACATGATGATGGCTTGATTTGTTCCCTTTGACTTCAACAAAATTTCCTAGTGGGTGTTGTAAATGTGGCTGTTATAGAGTCCCTGGTGTGAGTAATGATGGCATTCATGTCAGTGTTGTAAATGTGGCTGTTACATGGACCCTAGTATTAGCAATGATGGCACACATGTGGGTGTTGTAAATGTGGCTGTTACAGGGACCCTAGTATTAGCAATGATGGCACACATGTGGGTGTTGTAAATGTGGCTGTTATATAGTCCTTGTGGTATGAGTAATGATGGCGTCCATGGGGGTGCTGTAAATACAGCTGTTGTAGGTTAAAATGTTAAAGTATTGCTATTATGTGTGGGTGTTAAAAATATAGACATCAATGCTTGTGTAGATTAAAGGGTAAATCTTCCCCCTCTTCTGTAAATACCTACCATTACTCTTGCCTTCTGTAGCAGTCTCTGTCTGGGTGCCCTCAAAACCACGAGGAAAAGTCCCAAAATGTTTGCGACCTGTTGGAGATTGTAGACACAAAATGTTAAAAAAAAGTACAACCATACAAATTCCGACTACATTCTCCTTCCAACCAACTCTCTTCTCTCGAACAAATTTCTTATCTCATCCAACTTTCCTTTCTCAACCAACCCTGTTCATTCAACTAACCCTCTTCTCTCAACCAACCCTCTTCTCTCAACCAACTCTCTTCTCTTAACCAACTCTCTTCTCTCAACCAACTCTCTTTTCTTGACCAACTCTCTTCTCTCAACTAACCCTCTTCTCTCAACCAACTCTCTTCTCTTAACCAACTCTCTTTTCTCAACCAACTCTCTTCTCTCAACTAACCCTCTTCTCTTAACCAACTCTCTTCTCTCAACCAACTCTCTTCTCTCAACCAACTCTCTTCTAAGAAGACAACTCTCATCTCATCAGGCCAACTCTCTTCTCCTCAACTAACTCCTCTCTTCTCTCAAACAATTCTCTAATCAGGCATCCAACCTTCATCTATGAGTTCAGAATCAAGCCCTGTTCATTCAACTAACCCTCTTCTTCCAACCAATGGCTTCCTAACAATCATGTTGAAATAGGCATCTAATTAGCTTGCTAACATGTTAGAGTTTCTCAGAAAGTAAGTAGATATCACAGCCTAGCATGTAAAACAGTCATCACCAACGTACCAATCAACAGTTAAAACCTTCGAGAGGAAATCTCAGAAAAAAGAATTCCTTGATACCAGCTAGGAGTCTGCAGTAGCTCCTAAGCATAGTTACACCTTCATCTATGTTTACTAGAACTAAGCCAGGCCATTACCTATCTAGAAGCCTCAGAATCTAAGCAGGCAGTTAAACCTTCATCTATGAGTCTCAGAATCTAAGCAGGCAGTTAAACCTTCATCTATGAGTCTCAGAATCTAAGCAGACAGTAAAACCTTCATCTATGAGTCTCAGAATCTAAGCAGGCAGTTAAACCTTCATCTATGAGTCTCAGAATCTAAGCAGGCAGTTAAACCTTCATCTATGAGTCTCAGAATCTAAGCAGACAGTTAAACCTTCCTCTATGATTCTCAGAATCTAAGCAGGCAGTTAAACCTCCATCTATGAGTCTCATAATCTAAGCAGGCAGTTAAACCTTCATCTATGAGTCTCAGAATCTAATCAGACAGCTAAACCTTTATCTAGAAGGCTCAGAATCTAAGCACTGTTAAACCTTCTTCTAGAAGACTCAAACCCCAAGCAGACATTTAAACCTTCATCTACAAGGCTCAAACCCCAAGCAGACAGTTAAACCTTCATCTACAAGGCTCAAACCCCAAGCAGACAGTTAAACCTTCATCTACAAGGCTCAAACCCTAAGCAGACAGTTAAACCTTCATCTACAAGGCTCAAACCCCAAGCAGACAGTTAAACCTTTATCTAGAATGCTCAAACCGCAAGCAGACAGTTAAATCTTCATCTTCAAGGCTCAAACCCCAAGCAGACAGTTAAACCTTTATCTAGAATGCTCAAACCGCAAGCAGATAGTTAAATCTTCATCTTCAAGGCTCAAACCCCAAGCAGACAGTTAAACCTTCATCTACAAGGCTCAAACCCCAAGCAGACAGTCAAACCTTTATCTAGAAGGCTCAGAATGAAGCAGGCAAGGAACAATGAGGAAACACAAATGCTAATCTCAGCCAGTCAGGTCAAGGATGCAGCCACTTAGCCAAGCTCTCTCTCTCTGTTACGCTATTGTCAAGTGAAGAACACTTGGACATGGTACAACCTGATGCAAACTGGCCACAAACACACACACAGCATAACAAGCAGGTTTTTCCATGTGGGTTCCGAGGCCCCATTTAGGTGAGGGGGAAAAGAGAACAGACCCACTGTCTCACTATCAAGCATGTCATAACAGTAGACTAATTTTGTTGTTGTTGTACGTCAGATGGCATCTGCCAGAGAGAGAAAGGCGAGGAATCAACAGTCAGCAAACAAATGTAGGTGCACACAGAATTCTAGTTCTGCAAAAAGACCAAAGTCCACAAATGGACAAACAACCAAAACTTTCTCCAGGAGTTTACAGTTATGCACACACATTCATTTTACAGATCTAGCTTATCTGAATGCAGACTGTTGGTCTTTGCCTCTTGGGCAGAAGCCCACTGACAGAAACACCCCTAATTAGTCGACTCTTATGACATGCTTGTAATTGGGTAGTGGGTTTGTTTGTGTGTGTTTTTTTTAACCCTCAAAATGGGGCATCAGAACCCACGTGGGGGACAAACACAATTTACATTACAGACAAAAAACAAATTTAAAAAAACATACAAATGATACAAACATGAGCACCCACATACACGTGTGCATGCATGTAGGCATACACACACAAGCACACACACTTAGAATAAGGTTGTGTACACTTACTGTTGTCCCTCTGTGGAAGTTCATCCTTGGAATTCTCTGACACAACACTCCTCTTGGAATCTCTTCGCCTACCCTCACTGCTGGCAAAAAGACAGACAGTGTGTGACTACATGTCTGATAGTGCATGACTAAAATATGTGTGGGTGTGTGGCTGCATGTTGTGATATGTGGTAATAGATACGACAATACATCATCAGTACATGAAGTCTACAGAAAAAGCATGAATATCACAAAATATACTTCACTATGACATCTAACAAATATGATAAAACTAGTAACAACAACAAAAACATGATACTCTCCAGTAATATTAATTAGGATACTCCCCAGAAATATCAACCAGGATACTCCCCAGTAATATCAATCAGGATATTCCCCAGAAATATCAGTCAGGATACTTCCCAGTAATATCAATCAGGATACTAACCAGTTATAAAAATCCTGCCAACAGGTGCATATATCACAACAATGATGTAAAGAGGTACAAATTACGAATGATGAAGAAGAAGAAAAATAAGAAGAAGAAACATGATACTACCCAGTAATGCCAAACAAAGGTGATACTATTCAGTAACATTAAATATGATACTAACATCAAACAGGATACTACCCCGTAACATCAAACAAAGATGATACTTACTGTCCACTGATGTAGCTGCTGTCGTTGGAAGACAATGACTCGGATATGGAATCGTCTCTGTGATGCCCGTACACGCCCTGATGGACAGAACCAACAGAGACCATGTAATCCATGACAACAATCTGGGTAGTTTAGTTATGATCCACAATGGCATGTGGATAACTGTGACACATGAGATGGTGGATGGGTATGATCCAGGGCAACATACAATGACAGCTTTAATCCATGGATTTCTTAGTGCAGGGCTTTTCAACTGGTGGGCCATAAGCCAAATGTGGCATATGGTTAGTTAGTTGGTTGGTTAGTTAGTTGGTTGGTTAGTTAGTTAGTTAGTTAGTTGGTTAGTTAGTTAGTTAGTTAGTTGCTTGGTTAGTTAGTTAGTTAGTTGGTTGGTTGGTTGGTTAGTTAGTTAGTTAGTTAGTTGGTTGGTTGGTTGGTTGGTTGGTTGGTTGGTTGGTTGGTTGGTTGGTTGGTTGGTTAGTTAGTTAGTTGGGTTATCATCATTGCACTCCAGACATGTCCATAGGTGCTCAGATAGGTGCATATGGATGCCCAGCAAGTGGCCCACCAATCATTGCCAGTTGTATTGTATTAATGATCATTCTATTATAGGATTCGGGCCTCTGATAAAATTTTGGCTCCTTAGTAAACTTATCTGAATAGCCTTGTCATAGTGGATAATTTAATGGTTAGATGTGAACCATCAGATGCTACAAAGTTCACTGAATAGGTGTGAATCAGAAAGAATGAAGCACACACCATGAATTTTTTAACTGAAGGTTAAGCATAACATCACAGCACTCAGGACATTCCCATAATTGCTCCATTCTCATCTTCAGCAGGAAGCACAGAGTTGCAATTCTGATGGTTACAACAGCAATTTGATTATACATCTATCTCGCCTTTCCGTTGATCGCTGAGCATGGGCCAGATACCCTGGTCACTCCTCCGAGCACAGTTCTCCTTAGACTGTGATGATCTATTTGTGCCTCTGTACTGTTCATTCTCTCTCATAGGACCATCACAACATCTAGCTTGTCATGCATCAATTCACCACCAAGTGGTGCAGAACCAGCCAGTCTATTTGCCTGTTCATTTCCCAAAGCACAGGCATTACCTGACTAGGTAGCGCAAGTTGAGGGAAGCACACCCCAGAGCTAAGGTACTTAATGACTGACTAGGTGAGCCAAGTTGAGGGAAGCACACCCCAGAGCTAAGGTACTTAATGACTGACTAGGTGAGCCAAGTTGAGGGAAGCACACCCCAGAGCTAAGGTACTTAATGACTGACTAGGTGAGCCAAGTTGAGGGAAGCACACCCCAGAGCTAAGGTACTTAATGACTGACTAGGTGAGCCAAGTTAAGGAAAACCCACCCGAGAGCTAAGGTACCTAACTGATGCCTAGGGAATGGGGAAAGTAATCTCAAGGCTAAGTTTCAAGGCTAAGCTTCAAGGCTAAGTTTCCTATTTAATGAACAGGAACTGGCAAGCTGCCTGGTGTTGTCACAACATAGTTTCCATGTCTTTTCAATAACCCGGACCCTAAGTAAGAAGACAGTATCTAGGCTAAGAGTCTGCAGGTGACACAAATACTCACCAGATCTCCACGCATGTAAGGCTCTGGGATGAACTGGCCCTCGCCGTCAACTGGGGTGAATGAGTTGGTTCTCAGGTAGGAGTCTTTCAAGGGCAGAGAACCCGGCGGCGGGCTTGGTGAGTGGCGGCCCTGTAATAAAACACATACACATAAAAATATGTTTTTTTTTTTACTTGATACAGACATGAAACTCAGGCACTCCAAGTAATAATGTTACACCTCCTATCACCATTATGCTCCCCTTGTTGGTGCTGTAAAATTCCACCTAAAAGAGCTTCTGCGCCATTGATTCACACAGCAAACGGGCAGCTACAGTCGATACAATGCCGCTATCTCCCACCCGCAAACAGGGCTTGCCAATGGGATTTTTCTTAAATCCAAAGCTAAGCTGAACAAAAACCCAAGCAATACATAAGCAAAGAACAAAAACAGCAACAAAACCCAAGATTGATTACAAATTTTGTAGTTATGAAACCAAACATTGACCTGCTTTTGTATAAGGATGTATCTTTTTTAAAATCAGATTCCAAAATTTGAAACAAAGCGTCATATAAAAATCCAGATCTGGTGGGGAAAGGGGGGGGGGGGGGGGGAATCCAAGTATTGGCAGCCCTGCTAGTCCCTGTGTCGCAGATCAGAAACACCTCTACAAAGGTTACTGTCACAGTCCAACAATGAGGCCAGGAAATAGCTGCCACGTCTAAGTACACGACACACAAAGAGCGATGTGACCATTCTAGAGGTTAAAAGCACACACCAAACACTCTTCAGTTTCCAACTGATATTTTTTAACGATCAAAATACCAGGTCAACATTTAGGGCAGAGATTTCCAAACAATCACAGAAGAAGGTCAATATTTTGGGTTGATGTACCATGTTCTTAAAATTCACAGCAGAAGGTTAATATTTAGGGTTTATGTCATGTGAGTTCCAGAGGGTAAATATTAGGGGAAATAGAACAGTCGCACAACACTCACATAGCACAAACAGACACCATACTCACACAAACCCCCCCCCCCCCCCCCCCCCCCCGGATACAACACTCACAGACACAAACATACACAAACACTCACACAAGAAACAACACTAACAGATACACACACAGACACAATGCTTGCACAGACACAACACACATGGACACAACACTCAAAGATACAATACTCACACAGGCACAACGCTCACTGCCACAAACATCATATTCAGACACAACACTCACAGACACAACACTCACAGACACAACACTCACAGACACAACACTTACAGACACATGCTAAAGAGGCAGAGCATACAGACGGACACATAAACATACATACCGACATGCACATACACTCACTATGAACAACAACCAAACACGTGTTTCCCAACCTGTGGTACGATGCCAGTCAGACAACATTTCCCCTTAGTCCGCAAAAAATGTCTGCCATGTAGGGGCTAAACGAAACAAACAACCAGCCACATCCATCAGATTCTCTCTCACCTCTAGGCAGCAACAGATGCGTCAGTTACGTAAGGTACATTTGTAAACATTGGATATACTATTTCAAATAGTACCATCTACACTAGCTGTTAGTTAGTACCCGGAATACTTTGCATTCCAGGTCCGCAGGTGTGAAAGGGTTGAAGAACACTGAACTAGATACTATCAACGTCAATGACATCAATCAGCATAGACAAAACCTGGCTTACCGGGGTAGTTGAGCTGTAGGAGTTGTATGTGTTATGGGAGTTGTGGTGACTGCCGGACAGCTCTGATGTGGTCCCCACCGCGGTCAGATAGAGGCGTAGGCTGGACGTGTGTTCATTCTGCTGCACCAGTTGTAAGGCAGCGTCCAGGTCGGCCTGACTTTTGAGGGGAATGTAGATCTGAGGAGGCAGAATATGCAACATTCACAAACATACAAATCATATGTGCAATACGTGGGCTTTCTTTCACACAGGACATCACAACTTGGTTACATTTGTGGTTGCTGTCTTCTGCGCATGGAAATGAGTCTGATATCGCTCAGTCTGGTACTGTCATATATCTTAGTGGCACTGTAAAAGATCAGAGTGTGATACTGTCACAGATCTGAGTGTGATACTGTCACAGATCTATTTAAGTGTGATATTGTCACAGATCTGAGTGTGATACTGTCACAGATCTATCTGAGTGTGATACTGTCACAGATCTGAGTGTGATACTGTCACAGATCTATCTGAGTATGATATTGTCATATATCTTATTCTGGTATTCTCATATATGTGAGTCTGATTCTGATGTAGATTTGCGCGCAATGTCATATACCTGGTCTGATACTGTCACAGACGTGAGTGATTTTGCCATGAATCCGATATGACCTTAAATCACAGCCTAATACTGCCATAGATCCGATATGACCTTAAATCACAGCCTAATACTGCCATAGATCCGATATGACCTGATATCTCAGCCTAACACTGCCATAGATCCGATATGATCTGATATCTCTGCCTAATACTGTCATAGATCCGATATGATCTGATATCTCAGCCTAATACTGCCATAGATCCGATACGACCTTATAACTCTGCCTAATACTGCCATAGATCCGATATGACCTGATATCTCAGCCTAACACTGCCATAGATCCAATATCATCTGATATCTCAGCCTAATACTGCCTTAGATCCGATATGATCTGATATCTCAGCCTAATACTGTCATAGATCTGATATGACCTGATATCTCAGCCTAATACTGCCATAGATCCGATATGACCGTATATCTCAGCCTAATACTGCCATAGATCCGATATGACCTTATATCTCAGCCTAATACTGCCATAGATCCGATATGACCTTATATCTCAGCCTAATACTACCATAGATCCGATATGACCTTTTATCTCACCCTAATACTGCCATAGATCCGATATGACCTTATATCTCACCCTAATTCTGCCATAGATCCGATATGACCTTATATCTCACCCTAATACTGCCATAGATCCGATATGACCTTATATCTCACCCTAATACTGCCATAGATCCGATATGACCTTATATCTCTGCCGAATACTACCATAGATCCGATATGACCTTATATCTCACCCTAATACTGCCATAGATCCGATATAACCTTATATATCAGCCTAATACTGCCATAGATCCAATATGACCGTATATCAGCCTAATACTGCCATAGATCCGATATGACCTGATATCTCAGCCTAAAACTGCCATAGATCCGATATGACCTGATATCTCAGCCTAAAACTGCCATAGATCCGATATGACCTTATATCTCTGCCGAATACTACCATAGATCCGATATGACTTTATATCTCAGCCTAATACTGCCATAGATCCGATATAACCTTATATATCAGCCTAATACTGCCATAGATCCGATATGACCGTATATCAGCCTAATACTGCCATAGATCCGATATGACCTGATATCTCAGCCTAAAACTGCCATAGATCCGATATGACCTTTTATCTCTGCCGACTACTACAATAGATCCGATATGACCTTATATCTCTGCCGACTACTACAATAGATCCGATATGACCTTATATCTCTGCCGAATACTACCATAGATCGGATATGACCTTATATCTCAGCCTAATACTGCCATAGATACGATATTACCTTAAATCTCAGCCTAATAGTGCTATAGATCCGAGTAAAATAGCCATATATTTAAGTCTGATAGTGTCAAAGATCTAAGTTTGATACTGTCACCTCATGCGTCCTTGGAAAACGCGGGAGTTAGATGATTGTCTGCCGACCGGAAGGACAGGAGTCGAATCTGCACTGCCGAATGGTGACGCAGACAAATATACAAGCAAGCTGACTGACACCAGGGGTGTTGCATCAGGGACAGACAATGGACAGAAGCGACAGGGCTCACCTCTCCGTTACACTGTGTGTAGAAGACGTTGAGAACCACATGATACATCTCCTGCAACCGTCTGCTGAGCTCCGAGAACTGTGGGGGGCGGGGCACGGACATCACCCTGGGCAACACGATATCAATGAACAACTTATAATTATGAAAGATGTAATCACACGACCTCATATATCTTGTCATACTTCACACAATTACCCACAAAACAATCATATGATTACAGATGTATGGTCTCCGTGGCGGAGAGGTCAAGCCGATTGTCTCGCGTTCCGAAGCTCGTGCATTCGGTTTGAGGCAGCGATTGTCGCCGGAGCTACGTAGCTCGTGCTCTGTGCGACGCTCTAGGAGAGAGACTGAACCATGTGGTATAAAACCCGGTGCAATTAAGTCGATTCTCTCGACATTTACTTTTAACATTCAAGAAGAAAAATCTCAGCCAGACCCAGCCTCGTCAGATGGATTCGGGATCTATTTAAACATTTCGGTGCTTTAATACTATCCTACCTCAAAGAGGGGAAATTCACAAGTCACGGGAAAGTCTAATATTTCAGGGGGTGGTAGATAGGCTGCATGCAGTCGTGGGACCTAGGCTGCACTCTCTCGGACGTAGGTAGGTTCGGGTTCGGGTCAGTTCTATATTTTTTGTGGGGGGGGGGGGGGGCGTTTAAAGCGTCAGAAAGCCGGGAAAAAAGGTCTTACCATCCTCTAAAAGGTTGGACTGTCCTGTGACGTCATATGGGGGTAGGATATTAATAAAGAACCAGCATTTCTAGACATGAAGAAAGGAGAGGGAAGTGCAATGCTGCTCGTCATAGGCTCACTGTTACTTGTCTGTTCTGTATTTATCGACACCATTTACCGTCTGCTCACGCAGAATCAGCTCGTTTAGGACTCACCCTTCCAGGCTGACATCATGCTTCTTAACGTGTCCACACTTTACTACTGTACAGGAATAGATACAACTCTTCAGCACCACACATGCTAACGTTCTTTGTAACTCCTGCAAGCTTTATTGTAGTTTATAATAATTTCTCCATCAACACAATCTCTCAACACATCCCTTTATGCGATCTAGAAAATCTAACAGCCCATAATCACTATTATCATCATCATCATCATCATCAAGTGCCTTGCCAGCTGGTGTAGGCATTCATGCGTCGCCACAGATCTCGGTCTATCGGTGTTCTGGATGAATTCCACTGATGATATTTCTCCGAGCCACTGTCTTAAGGCATCCACCATCTTTCTCTTGGTCTGCATCTTCTATTAGTGACCTTTTCAGTTGTCACGATATTCTCCAGTGCTCCTTTTCTCATTACATGACCAAAAGAACTGGGTCTCCTTCTCATTGGTGTATACAATGTTCTACTTTCATTAGCCATTTCCAGGCATTCAATGTTGGTTATTCTGGCAGTCCAATGTATTCTCAACATTCTTCTCAAGAACCCCATCTCAGTTGCCTCCAAACTCTTCTTAATCTAACAATCCACCTGCGACATCTTCAATTAACTACAACTGTCTTCCTCGACGGAGTGGGCACAAACTGATGACGTCATGTGTTTACAGGTGTCATTTCAGTAAAGGACACTACTTACACCTTCGGCACATGGCGGGAATTGTTGAATCAATTACTGAATTTCTGATTTTCCAGTGCCTGCTGGCCAATGCCTGCACACCTGGTTTGTCGTTATGACTGTTCTTCTGTACTGCTAAACACATTCAAATCATTCGCGTAAGATTCATTTGTAAACGTCTACCAGGTGGGTTTCTGACAGGAAAACAGACAAACAGATAACTATAATATTTATGAATTTTCTAAATCATCATCATCATCATGTGCACTGCCAGGCGCTCATGTGTCTCCACAGATCACGATTCCTGGTTGACTGGAACAGCTCTCTTGATGATATCCCTCCACGCCATAGTTTTAGCCCATACAGCATCATCTCTCTTAGCCTGCCTCTACCCCTTTTTCCACTTATCTTTCCAGTTATCACGATGTTCTCCAATGTCTCTCTTCTCATTATTAGGGCTGTACCGAATAGTGATTTTCACTATTCAGCCGAATACGATAACGGGACCAACTATTCAGCCGAATACGAATAGTGTATAAAATATATCTTTAAAAAAAAACATTTATAATGTCAAATATACGCTGAACTTGTACTTCACATAAAGTAGCATAGAATAGTCATCTTCTTCTATAGCATACTGAGCCCTTGAGGTTTACTGCTGCATTCATCTCTCTGGCTGGCCTTCTCTTCACAATTTGTGACACCAGTTGTTTGCAGGTATGGCCGGGCATTATTTCTCGAACGTCTTTTTCGTCTGCCTCGCGGTCTACTACCATTCATCTCCCAAGCGTTTACAGTTTTACTTCTCTGTCATCTGACATTCTTTCAATATGCTCCAACCATTTTAGTCTGTTAGCTCTCATGATGCCAGTGATCAATGGTGATTTAAACAGATTATGTGTTACGTTGTTGCTTCTCACTCTCTATTTCCCGCTGTTAGCATCTTTGATGGGTCCAAAGATTTGTCGTAAGACTGTTTTCAAAAACCTGTAATAAGACCTCATCTCTTTAATTTCTGCTTCAAGTTTCAGAGCCATATAAAACGACTGGTCTTATCAACGTTTTCTATATTTTGATCTTGGTGTTGCGAGACAGAAACTTTGACTTTAGAAGATATTGAAGGGCATAGTACACTTTATTTCTAGATTCTATTCTAGATTGTATTTCTTCTCTCAACATGTTGGAGCAGTTGAAGTTTGCACCCAAGTACTTATATGTTTCCGTTCGTTTGATTTTCATATCGACTTGGATGTGGCCGGAGTTTATATTCTTTCCATGTCTAGTTAGTATTCGTACAGAATAGTAAACATTTAAAATTTTTTATGTTTTGCATCCTTCAGTCAGTCTGTGGTAACTAATAACTAGGAATGAAAGAATCCTAAGTATTATAACAAGTAACTAAACTTAGAAATTGTCACTGACAGCTTAGTTAATGCATGAAAGCTGCATTAGCTTTCAACAAAACCAATCGTTCCATGTTGTCAGTATTAAGGCCGTGTATGCAGAAGTGGGTGTAAGGTAACTACTATTCGTATTCGTCCCGACCACAACTATTCGGCCGAATACCGAATAGTCAATAGGTCCTCTATTTGGCCCTGAAGCGAATAAGAAGCGAATATTCGGTACAGCCCTACTCATTATGTGGCTAAAGAACAGTGTTTGTCTCTTTCTTATTGGTGTATATAGAGATCTACTTTCATTAGCCTTTTTCAAGCAATCGTTGTAAGTTACTCGAGCCGTCCAATGTATTCATAACATTCGTCTCAGAAACCACATCTCCGTTGCTTCCAAATTCTTCTTAATTTGTTCAGTGATATTCCACGATTCGCTACCACACAGCAGAGCAGGTGTAAAATTTTAGCACCCTAGTTCTATTCAAAATATAATCACTAATTGACACAGGCACTGCAAATAGGTACTACCACATACAAGCAGCCAATATGCAGTGTTAATGTTTGATAAGTCAAAAGACAGGGCTTCCCTAAAAACAAACACAAAACGTCCACCACTTCAAATTCTCCTCCACCCTACTCTGTGTTCAACAGTAACATCATCACACAAAAACATTACACTACAGCGTTTATTTTTACTGATCAGTTTCCCCTATTAAAAGTCGTGTTTGCTCTAGTTATCTCCAAGGCAGCCATCGTTTGTCTGGCTGTTTATCTACGACCGCTAACTGATGCCCTTTAGCCTCCTGTTTGCAATGGATCCGGGCAGTCCTCAGTCCTATGGTGTTATTTTAATGTCGGGTTTCTGGGGTGCCCGCCAGGTCCCCGTGCCCTTGTTGGCCATGCAGAGACAGCACTTGGGAAAGGATGTGCCGGAACGAACAAGAGGTGTGCAACAGCAGGGCACCGTTCTATGTCGATCAGAGATGGCCAGCAAGAAGCGGTTATGAATGCTCTAAGAAGCAATGCAGTGTAACTGCCAGCTTCAACAAACTAAGACGATTAATCTACTGCGTGTCAAGTGTTACACGTAAGGTAATATATTTGACTGAGGTAAGATAACTCGTGCAGTAATACAATAAAATACATGGTTAAAACAATGAGTAATAAAGGTGAAGATTTAACAAATTGGTACTGTATTCGGGTTAAGACAATGGGTACTGTAAGTAGAGCTCTGACATTGGGTACTATCAGTAGAGCTAAGACAAAGGTTACTGTAAGTAGGGCTAAGACAATGGGTACTGTAAACAGAGCTCTGACAATGGATTCTATCAGTAGAGCTAAGGCAATGGGTACCGTAAGTAGAGCTAAGACGATAGTTATTATAAGTAGAGCTAAGACGATAGGTACTATAAGCAGAGGTAATACAATGGGTACTGGAAGTAGAGCTAAGACAATGACTACTACAAGTAGAGCTCAGACAATGGGTACTGTAGGAACAGCTAAGGCTGATGGTAATTTGAGGCTCATATAACGGGTAGTCGGCTCTGTGGCTAAGTCGATGCGAACGCTTCGTAATGCCGGGATGTCGGGTTCGATCCCAGCTGCGGGCCATGGGCCTTGCGTTTGTTTCAACAGTGGTATCAAGAAAGCCGACCGTCCAGCAAGCAATGGCAAACTACTGGACGTAAATTTGCCTAGAAAAACCACACAACAGCCGGGTGCTGTTGGGGTAGGTTCTGCAACGTCATGTGAAGGATACGCAACTAATCTAATAACGGGTAACGTATGTCAGATAGAGGGTTCTGTCGATGCATTTAAGATAGAGGGTTCTGTCGATGCATTTAAGATAGAGGGTTCTGTCGATGCATTTAAGATAGAGGGTTCTGTCGATGCATTTAAGATAGAGGGTTCTGTCGATGCATTTAAGATATAGGTTCTGTCGATGCAAGCTTAAGATAGAGGGTTCTGTCGATGTATTTAAGATAGAGGGTTCTGTCGATGCATTAAGAACTTTGGGTTCTGTCGATGCATTTAAGATAGAGGGTTCTGTCGATGCATTTAAGATAGAGGTTTCTGTCGATGCATTTAAGATAGAGGGTTCTGTCGATGCATTTAAGATAGAGGGTTTCTGTCGATGCATT